TTATGATCCTTACACACTGAAGACGCTTTATGTTTCTCTAGTAAGATTAAGGCTCGACTATGAATCTTTCATCTGGAGACCGTACCATTCTTCATATATAAGCCGCATAGAAAGAGTCCAGAAAATATTCATAAAATTTGCCTTACGCTCTTTAAATTTCACGGAACCGACTCCTTCATATGAATCACGCTGTCTGCTTTTGGATAATAAACCCTTGAGTAGTAGATTCTCCTTCCTCGCTTCCTCTTTTGTGTCCAATATCGTAAATGGATCAGTTGATTGTCCTAACCTTTTGGAACGACTACATTTTAATGTCCCTAGGCGAAATCTAAGGCGTGTAACCCTATTTTACATTGGGTTAGCAAAATCTAACTACGCCAAGAATGCCCTGTTAATGAGAACCCTAGCGGACTTAAATAGCATTCCAAATCTTGATTTGCCCCTTTCCTGTGGAGCAGTACGTACCATATTATATAACTACTTTAAATAGCTATAATCTTGTCCTCATAGTCAGTAAGAATTTATTGTTCAGTTAATTAATACATGGAATAATATTACTGAAAAAAAATTCGCATGTCTTATTCAGGTATTTATTTATGTATGTTAAAAAGAAGTTGTAACTAATTATGTCAATAATTATGTTCGCTTAAGTACCCGCATCGAAGCCGATATTGTGCTTACTGTGCTCAATCAAATAAAACCCGGTTGCGCAATCGTGTAATAGCTCGATTAGCAATGATGAGGCAATGAAAATTTCAAAATTTCGGCAATATTTATTGTGTTCTTGTCAGAGCTGTAAAACTGTGAAATCATATGAAATTAAAAATCATCAATTTTATGTTATTATGTTTTCATTGAATTTTTCCTTGTTGGGGAATGTGGCTTATAATTTTCCAATTCTACATTCACTCAAAGTAGATACGATTGCACACATTAACATATTCAAAGAAAGATTGAAAAAACTGAATGACGAAACATTAACTTTTAACACTGAATAAGCATTCAGATGAATGCAGCTTTTGCTATGTGTGCACACATTCATTCAGTACCAATCAATCGATATAAATATTCTAAATACACAAAACCCACTGAAAAATACGCAAGGTTGAATTTTATTGAACAGATTTCAAAATTGCAACACGAAAAATAGTTTATTGAGCGTTATCATTAATTTGTTTCACTTAAATTTGTACAAATATTTATAATAAATGAAAATATTAATTAGAGAAATATTGTTCTGCCAAGAATGTCATTATGAAAAATGTCAATTATTAACGATTTTTACATCTCTGTTTCGAAAATTGTCAGCTTTCTAAATAAGTATTACCAATGTACCAATAAAAGGTATGTGCAGAAATTATTACATATGTACATACCTATATATCTACGTTAAAATAAGTAAACAAATTTAAGCGCTTCTACTTCTAACTTTAGATATATACATTTTATTATTTATTTAAAAAATTCTTAATACAAGTTTCTTCGTACTTTTTTCTTCGCTATTGGGTCAAGCATTTAATAAAGATTCTAAAACCTGATTTGTGGGTTTGTGGTGGTTTCTACCATTTACAATAAGTTGCAAATTATCAACTTTTCTCAAAAAAAGATTTAACAAATCTGTGTGCAAACCCCTTTTTATTTTAGTGTGGTAGAATCGAAAAAAATGTGGTAGATTTGAATAAGATGTGGTAGATTTTCCAATTCATATTTTATTGGGTATACATATCGCACACCGTCGTCAAAAGAAGCACAACTCAAAAATTAAATCGGGAAATATAATTGCTAGTGGATCGTACAGATTCCACGCAATTGGTGCAAAAACAAGTATAACATTAGTTTTCTAGTTAGAGAATATAATCATGAAGAAAAGAATATTTTATTTGTATGCAAAAAAATCGACCAAATTATTTTCCCATTGCATAATACTTTAGCAAATATAAATAGGCGTATTTTTTGAAATATTAGAAAGTTAAGGCACAGATATATTTAAAGCAAAATTTATGATGTACCTTTTTAAAAATCTATTGATTAATTTTTATATTTCGAATTACAATTGAGTTGAAATTCTAGAGTTATGTGAAAATTGTAAACAAATGTTCTGTCTAAAAATGTGGTAGAATTTAAGCCTTGTGTGGTAGATGTGGTAGACACCCAAATTTAAAAAAAATTACGTGGTTGATCTACCACACATGTGGTAGAAGCTTGCTAACTGTTCTAAACGTATGTTTTGAGCAAATTGATGTTTAAAGCTAGCAATATATCCCATGTCCATTTTCCAAAACTATAATAATAAACATGGCAGTTTTTTAGCAATTTGGTTCCTGTAATTAAGGAAATATTGTAGTTTTGGCATTTTTCGAAATTACCATTTTATGAGAGGGACCAGGTTTAGATAAAAAAAACCCTCGTACAGAATTTGGTTGAGATATCTCAACTTTTGCTAGAGTTTTCGTGTACGCAAATAAACGGACATGGACTAATCATCTTCTCTTTTTTTCTGAGCATTTTTATGTATATATACATACATAAGTAGTACATACGAACATAAATGTATGTATCCATATCGATTAATTTTGGTTGTTCCAAATATACGTTATTTGAAAAAAAAGTTATGGTACCCTCTTGCAGAACTGCGTTGTAAATATGTTTAGGAAACATTTAAATTAATAGTTAATTAAAAAAGTTGCTCAAAGTAATGGAACTCCTCAACCCCTTAAAAAAAAACAGGAACACTTCTGAAATTTTGTTTTGAAAGTTTTCATATTTGAAAACTGAAAACAATCACAGTATACAGCAAACCAGCCATTGACAATATGCTTATTTGAAAACTAATACATGAAATGTTGTGAATATATAGGATTTTTTTGTCATTAACCCATAGGCAACAACTGGTGCAAAAGTACCTACAA